AACCGGGTGGGCCAGCTGATGTCTCCTCCCCAGACCACGGCTGCGTGCACCGGCCCTGGAACCGGACTACCCTTGGCCGAAGGGGCACCCGCATCCCTTCCCTTCCCCTCTTACCCGCCCCGGTTCGCCCCGCTGTCCCGTACTCGGGTCTGGAGGAGGCCGGCCAGGATGACATGCGGCGGGCGCAGCTCTCTCGGTCGGTGGGGCTTTCTCACCCCCGCTGCCTGTCAGACAGGTGGCTCTGGAGGTGGTCCTGGCTTGAAGCGATCGCGACACCCCAGAGGAGAAACAGGCCAGAGCACAGGCTCAAGCTTTCATTGTCTTGCCCAGGACTGTTAAGAGAGCAGTCTCCCATAAGGACACTGCTTCTCTTGAGCATAATTCCCACATTTCCAAAAGAAACACTTAACCTTTCTTTCTTGATTAGATGCTCTCAGATTATTGTTTAAAACTAATTTCTATCTCAGTCACAACATGAGCTTCCAGGCATTTGCTGGCAACACTGAAGTTGGGTTGTTCACAGTTGCCCTGTCAAAATTAACATTGGTGTTTTGCTGTTTGTTTTTGTCCTGTTCTGGGACATGCAGTTGTCATTCTAGGACATCCCAGCAGCTGTAGCAAAACCGTTCCTGAAGCTGCCAGGCCATCTGCACAGAGCAGCCATAGGTCAGGGCAACTTTGTCAGGATAACTGTACCCTACCCTTGATCTCACTGTGCAGGACAGACACTGCACTCTGTTACCAACCCTTTCATTCGTCATCCCATACGCGTACCAAATTCTGAAATTTAAATTGTCCTCTTGTCCTTTCCTTGCACAGTACCAGGATCTGGGTGGTCCTATGTATTTATATGGGTTTGTTCGTTCAATTTCTGTTAACTGGAATTAAGTTGCCCCTGATAAAACCTGCATAATACTTATTTTCTATGTTAGTATCACAGAAGCAAATAATTAAGGTTTTTGTTAGTGACACTGTTACCCAGACAGTTTCTGAGGAATTCTGTGATGGAAGGTTTCCAGGCAACAAGAACTCTGCTTAAACAACTCCTGTCTGCACAGGCAGTTTGCATTTCACTAAGTAATATTACAAGCAGACAAGAAGTTTAAAACCAATTTGTCCAGCTATTTAAATTACTCTAATTGCACACTGACCAACTGTTCATTGAATTACCAGTTGTTTTTAGGCAAAACAAGCTTACCTTTGTTCAGAAAGTGGAAGGATGGAGAATACAGACAACAGAACAGTAGTGTACCTGACAAAGATGTGCTATGAAGGATTCTGGCAGGGGATTGTTCTGAGACCTTTTAGTTGTTTATCTGGATTTTTTTTTTTCCCCAGCCAGCCTATCAAAATTTGAGGCAGAAAGTAGACAACTTTGTATCGACCCACCTGGACAAACAGGAGTGGAATCCTGCAATGAACAAAAACCAGCTACGAAATGGGCTAAGGCAGAGTGTGATTCAGTAAGTAAGCAACATTCTGTAAAATAATGGTAATGCTGTTTGAGAAGTAATGCATAACTATCTTATCTAAGTCAAATAAGAATTCTGCTGAATTAAGTTTTTAATTCACAGCTCTCCTGAGTTAGATTACAATGGTGGATACAGTCCTAATGCTCATTAAAATGCTTACATTACTGCTTTACCTGAAATTTGTATTTTCATGAGCTGAACAGCATGGTGAAGTACTCATATTTGCTGTCTAGACAAGTTATTGCTGCAGATTGCCAATGCTGTGCCTGCTTACTAAACTGTACCCGATGTGCTGAGCTGAATGACCTTGACCTTTATTTTCAGAAAGGAGCCTATATCACTTGAAGAAAAAAAAAAATCCTGAAGATGCCAAAATTGTTTAAGTAGACTGACCACTAGCAGGCAGTAATCAAACTGGGCTAGCCTGATTTCATGCAGGACAGGATAGCTTTTGTTCTGGCATGACAGAAAAGCCAGCTTAAACTGTGCTGCTTAGAGATTTAGGTTTAGTATCTCCTGCTGCTTAACTCATTGCAGTCTGAAGCATGAGCTTTAGCTTGCTTGACGAGAAGTAATGGATAAACACTTCATAGTAAAAGTTGGGAAGAGAAGCAGTAGGCAACTTGATAATGGCATTATAAGAAAAGGTAGTACAATGTCTTGGACACAGAAGAAACTATTGCAGAGCACTTGATAGAACCTGTAAGTCGTTAGTATGTTAACATTAGTTTGTTTTAATCTGAAATAGGAGAAGGGGGAAGCCACTGGAAGTACAGAATTTCCTGTCTTTACTTGGAATGTTTGAGACATGTTTCACACTTAGTGCTTCCTTTTATTTCACATCATCACTAGAACAAAGTGGACAATTGAAAGTTGTTATATCAGAGCGCCTATAATGAAAAGAATGTAAAGTGCTCCCTTTAAGTAGGCTATTAGTATAAAGAATAGACACACAGTATTAGGGAGTTTGGAGAGTCTCTGTCACTCCTGTAGTTGCAAGACTGAGCACTGACATTGTCAAGATGTTTATGTCCTGTGTTGTGTGCACGTATACTTGTGCTGTTTCCTGGAGGTGGCATGATGTGCCATGACCCTGCACCCGCTCGCTCACCAGCATTCATGGCGTTATTAGTCTTGTGGCTCCTTTTCCGAGCGCCAGGCAACGTCTTCATTTCCTGTCCCCCGCTCCCTTGCAGACATGACTTAAGCCTGCTAGACAGCCTGTGCCCCACAGTCCAAGAGTCTGACGCAGTCCCTGAAGTAATAAGTCACTTCAGTTACTAGTGTTCAATTCCAGAAACTTTGCTGTGTGCTACGTGTGCTTGGTTTTATAATTAATGCCCATCTGTCTAGACTAACAGTTATAAGGAGTGAGTGACAGTAATGTTATTAGGGGGAAGGCCTCTTCTCCCTCAAGTCAGCCAAAGAAAAGACTGCTCTCACCTGCCCTCCTCCTCAAAATAGCTTGGTTCCCTCGTTTGTGCCAAAATGTGTTTGTTTGCTTTCATGTTGACCTCATTTCCACATGAGCCCTATTAAAATGGCTCTTGTCCAGCATGTCATTTAACTACCTGGGAGACCAGATGTCAGTTGTTAATTCTGTAGGGAGAAGGGAGAGGGGGTGGGGGTGGAAATAGGTGAACAGCTCCCTGTTAAGGATCTACTGAGTGGGTTGCAGTTCTCACCATGTTAATGCTAATTGCAGTTGACAGGAGGGCTCTGGGGAATTACTGGAGGAGATTGGGGAGAAGTTTTTCAGAGAAGCTGAATGACTCCTTTGTCTTTGTTCAAGGTCAGGAATGCTGGAAGCTGGAGTGGACAGAATTATTTCTCAGGTGGTGGATCCAAAACTAAACCACATCTTCAGGCCCCAGATAGAGAGGGCGATTCATGAATTTTTGGCTGCACAAAAGAAAGAGGAAAGTGTGCCAGCTCCTCCTCCAGAGCCTGAGAATAAGGATCCTCCTGCTCCATCTCAGGATGCCTCTTAAAGGTCTTGTATCTCTGCACTTACTACTTTTTTCATGTACCTCATCTCTAGTTTGTGTATTGCAAGACAGAGAAGATATTGTATTCTTCCTGGCTTGACAGGGAGGACACTTTGATCATCAGCATGTTGTCAATGTCAGACAGTCATCTGAGCTGCTTCCACTTAAGTGTCTGCTAAAAATATATTAGGACCGAAGACACAGTTATGATGTAAAACAGCTATCAAGGAACACTGTGGACTCTGCCAGTGCTGGTTTTGGATCAGGCCAAAAGGCCTTTTATTCCTGTGAAAGCACATCCAGCAGTGACTGACATGGAATTGGCTGGATAGATTTCAGAACAATATCAAATGGATTAAAATATATATCCTTTACTGAAATACAGCTGACAGTAGAGTGGTGACAAGTTATTGTGCTTTAACATTGAAAGTTTTAGATAGCTCTTCTTTAGAACATACACTGGAGTGTTGAATTGTTAGTGACTGAAATATTCACTGCTGGAATAAGGGTAATGTCTCTGAGAGTGAATAACTGCTCATTCCAAACTGACTGGTTTAAATAGAGCAACCTGTATCTTTCCAGCTGGAAGGACTGAGGGTGCCTTTGTTGCAAACAAGTTCGTTCTGGCTTTTGTGATTAAAATAACTCAAGGGGCCTCAGGGGGCTATAATTGCTACTCTGTCTTAGCACAGATGGCTATGCACCCATCTCTGCTAAGGCCCTCTATCTTAACATTGATTGGAATATTGAGGCCTGTGTGCACGTTACTGAGGAACCACTGTCTTCATGGAAAATTTCAATCTGCAGCTTCGCTGGGGAACTTAAAACCATACTGCATGAAAGGAAGTTAATTGTGAACTGTTCTATTTGCTAGGGCTTTCTGAAAGCAAACATTTTTCCTTATAGTCTACAGCTGATTTATTAAGAAGGAATAAGTAACTCAGAATAGCTGTTCTTATGCTTGGAATGGTTAGATCAATTAGCTTGACTTTTAGTTTGGTAGTAGAAGTGCCTGTAGTATCATCCTGAGTTATTTAGTTATCTGTGACTTGCAGCCTCAGTGCCTAGATAGATCTTTGCATTTGTCAGGCTCAAGCAGTTTAAAGTCCATTATAACCTGCAGCTAAGTGCAGCTGTTAATTAATATTAATAATCTATTTTCTATTCAAATCCATTTACTTGTAAAGGTACCATCATCTAAATGCTCTTTTTTTTCTTGCAGTGAGTTCCTGACAGTAAGCAGCTGCAAAACACGTGTCCTGTTAGATTGGCAATGGATTACTGGTTCCATTTGGTGCAGGATTGCTGTCTGCCAAAGATGATTAACTTTTATCAGACCTGTGAGAAGGCATTGAAATCAGTGAAAGTCATTGCACCTGGAGTTTTGTGTGTGGAGGGACAGCCAAAGGGTGAAGATACTTTTGCTATTAACAGCAATACCAAGAGCAGCATGTATTCTTTTTAATCATGCCTTCAGGCAAGGGGGTGGGAAGGAAAAGGGAGTTGGTTCTCGTCTGGAGGAAGCAGGGAAGTGGTTTGAGGTGGTACTAGACTTGGGAGCAGGAAGAAAGGAAAGATGTTTTGGGGGGTGGGGTAGTCTCTTGGAGACCAAGTAAGAGCTGACAGATTTTCTTTGATGTAAGCCAGATGAGAGGAAGCATCATACACTTCTGCTGCGTGACACAGAGTTGAGTAGTAGGTGCCAAGTCCGGTGTAACTCATTGCACTGCCTGCTTTAGCAAAGACGTTTCCTGTTTAAAACTGGAAAGAACACTTCAGGATTAATTATCAAGATAATTTCTGTTGCATTGCAGGAAAATGTTTACAGTTGGCTATGACTATAGCTGATTTAATTCTTATTTCCTAGGTAACTCTAGGAAGCAAAGGGCACCAGAGTAGGCGATCAGTTTGAAACTTGTCTCTTTCAATTGAAAGACTTCTTTCCTGTGAAATTTCTCAGGTGCCTAGTGGAAACTGTCCCATGCTTGAATGCATGCAGTGTCCCCTGGATGACAGTCAAGTAGAGAATGTGATCAGGTATTCTGCCAGCAAATGTCCATACCTTTTGCAATAAAAGACTTCAAAAAGCATCTCTGACTCCTTGCTTTTTCAGAACTTTTTTTATTAAAGGAAAAACTACTTTAAAGAAATCCAGGAGTCCTGATTGCTGGAACCCTAATGGAAGTGTGACCTAATGCAGTTCATAGATTAATCCAAGTCTGACAACAGGGGGTTGTTAGTAAAGTTATCATGGACTAACACAGATACTAGTATTCCTCTCCATAGAAGGTATCTCTTAAAAAGAAATCTAAAGTATCAAAGAACTGAACTGACCTTAGCTTACATCATTTATAAGGTATAAACACAGAGTAAGTTCAGTCTGGTGCCAGTGAAGGTGAAGGCATGTTCAACCTCGTGAAAACAATGCACTTCTGGCAACAGGCTAGAGCTATTCCATGTCTTTCCTTTCAGATAGCAATCTTCTAAGAAGTTAAGAACTGTCATTGAATAACACTAAATAACGTTGGAATCCTTGCTACTCATGGGCTATGTACTGTGTACATAGACTTTGTATGCAACAGATGCAATTCTAGCTATAATTGCTCCCTTTTCAAACCAGGTAATTTGCAGTGAAGACTGATACTGTGGTTTGATCATGTAGCTAAATTATTTCATGTATTACCCCCTCTCAACACAGTTATATGCAGAAATGGAGATGACAGAACATCTGGTATTTTAAAGCTTTCACAAGAGAGCTCTGTGAACCGCTGCAGTAAGGTTGTGTTCTGCACGGTACTGCATAGTCCTGCTGTTGATACATGATTCTTCCATCAATATTTTTATCCTACTTAAGTGTTCCCCTCAGAACAGAAACTTAAATAGCTGTACTTTTTAGTGATAACCATATTGGCTGTAACCTTCCTGACAGCGTTAGAGAAATCTGTATTTCGGGCTAATCTGGTTGTGGGGCTCGACTCTCACTGTTACATAGCCTGTGTTCCTGCTATGAAACAGGACAAGGGGTATGTGAGGAAAGGGCTCTCCTGCGTGTTGATTTGGTGGTTAAAGACAGCTCTCCAAATCAGTAGTTGGTGTTTTCCCTTAGAGCCTTAAGGGCAGCTCTTGGCAGGAAAAGATCCATCTTTTACCTCCTGGTGGGGTGTCCCAACCACTTTTGAAACTGAGCCATTTATGCAGGGGAAAGGAAAAAAAGAGTTCAAGAGTGTAAAAAGAGAGCAAGTGAAAAGGATTCTAACTGCTTAGACAAAGTCTGGATTACAGTAACAGCAGTTAGGGAGCAGGGACACCAGTTAAGTTTTAGACAGTATTAAGCAGAGCTGGATTAGAGCAGGGAAGAGGGAATCTGAACCTGTGTTCCCTACCGCTGACAAGTGCTTTGACAGCTGAGCGAAGGAGAATAGATTCAGCCACCATCGTTTTTAAGAGGTTTTTCCACTGTTCTGTCTTTGAACATGGTGCTGTGTTAAACTCTGAACACTGACACTCTGCCACCACTGTGCATGTCTAGGGCTGTGCCTTTCGTTGGTCTCACCCTACGCACAGTTTATGACTGCAGTGACTGTGGGAACTTTCAGATCAGAACTGAGGCACTTGGTAAGATTAGGCAGCCAATCTGCATTTGGGATCATAGTCTTTAACATTTAGGCTCTAAAGTCCTTGCTTTGGACCAGAGCCTTGGAAGTAACAAGCTTTGGAAGCATTGCTTGCATCTAATGAGAAGAACCACCAAGTCCTTACCACAGCAGAGAACTGGTAGGTAGTGTCCTTTAATTGTATACGTTTGTCCCTGGTTACTGACAGAAACAGGATTCCAGCCTCAAAAACTCAATATTCTAGAAATCTTCACACCAGAACAAAAGAACAAGTTTGTATCTACTGTAGAAGTGAAATTGTTTCCTTGTGTAGTAGGATGTCACACTAAAGTTAACATATTGGTCAGTTTACATTGCTATGCTGGATACGGTAAAGAGTTTGGTGAGGTGGACAGCTCTAAGACACCTGAATAATTCAAGAAGCGTTGAGATGCCTTTGTGGAGCTGAAGGGGCAGGGCCACGCATTGGGAGGATGAGCCTCAATGGTCAAATGGGCCTGTCCTTTGATCTCAGGGTCCTCCTCACATTCCAGTTGACTGCTCCCGATTCCTGGACAGTCATTTAGTACCTCAGAATTTTCTCTGTCAGGTGAATATGTTCATGCTTTTAATAAATTCCAAGAGATTGCACCATTTCTTCATCTGATACACAAAAAACGTAACAGATTTTCTGCCGCCTTTGCCTGTCCCAGCCATGTACATTAGTTTCTGCCAAGTCACAAGAGACCAGCTGCAGTTTAAAGAAAATATGCAGGGAGTTTGAGTTGCATTCTTGGAAAACCAGCCTTGCCACTCCGTGGCTGCTCTGCACTATGGAAATGCTGGAGCCAAAGCCTGCAGGAGCCACCTAGGAACTAGGAGGTAAAAGTTCTCTTGCAGAGGCCTGCTAGCCACCCACGGCCATGCCTGTGGCTTGTTTTTTTACCAGTTTGCTTGCCTGTAAAGTGAAGATAACTTTACCTTCCTACATAAGTCCTGGAGCAGGGATTGATTCAGGTGCTATAGTTAGGCCCAATGCAATGAAAACACAGAATGGAAGGGATGTACACACACCAGTAAGTTGTGATACACTGAGCAAGTTTTAAGGATTAGACATTATAGTTGAAGTCCCATGGAATCACCTTGAAATGCATATCTTGCTGGCCAGACTAGGGTTTTTAAGTATGCCATTTAGTGTCAGATAGTGACTTCAGAATTGGAAACAGATGTACTGAACTATGAACTAATGAACCCAGTTTCACAAGCCCTGTGGAGGAGGAAAAAAACTACCCCAAACCACAAACTTATCTAGAAGGATTCATTGCCATCTATCAGTCAATCATCCTGGCACTTACCAGTCACAGCCAAGTGGCACATAAGGCAGTGCCTGAAATTTATAGCTTTTGCTTGGCTATTAAAGTAATTATCACATATCCCATATGATTAAAATACTGTAAAGCAAAAAAACAACCTGATCTTAAAGTGGGGGGAAGAAGAAGGGAGAGCAAGGTGCCACTGATGATGGCCATATTAAAAGCTGTGAACAGATGTCAGCACTCCTCTAAAGCACTGCCTCAGCTGCTGTACTTTCCTGGGCTGCCTTTGAGATCAATGGATCACTCTGGTCACTTAAACCAGACAAGCCAGAGCACAAGGAAGTGGGTTGTATTAATTAACTTTTGCCAGCTGACCCTTCTGGCAAGAGCAGGCTTGAGAAATCAGTCTGGACACCAACTGTATGGCCCAGGTTTTTGTAGCTTTCCTGCAAAGCTGAGTGTCCTGGAGTGTTTATAACCTACGTATCCAAGTCCCAGCAAAGCAGAAAGTGCCGTTGTCCTGAGCTCTGGATAACCCAAAACTCCACTGGATATGTAATCCCTAAGATTTTCACAGACATTGAACTCTCATGTTCTTTAGTTAAGGACAAGTATAACTGGGTTCTCTTAAGTGAGCCAACTAAATTTTCAGTCTTAGTAGGGAAAATAGAGAAGAAGGAGAGGCTTTCTTAGCTGTTCTGGGTGTTCTCATGTCACACAGACATCTCAGTTCAAGCGTTACTTGCAGCACTGCAGAACTTCTCTTACTTCCCTACCATCTGTTTTCCCTTCTTCATGTTGAAACCTGAACTTCAGCCTTACAACAGTTCTGATGTTTTTTTTCCTTTGACAGTGTCCCAAATGCTGTCATGATAGAAAAACTGAGAGCAGAAGTCCATGGTCTTTCCTCTGTTAATCCTGAAAACTGTACATGTAATGCACACCGCCAAACACACAAAGCAATCTAAGTGGAATCACAATGATGTTGTCTTTATAAGCATACATATTTTAGTCCAAGAAAAATTCAAATACAAGTATTGAACAGGTCTTAAGTGATGAATAATGTGTTTATAACATGTTCTTGAAATAAAGCCTATTCTTGCTATAAATTATTAACAGTAATTTAATTATTTTTTTTAACTTCTCATGCAAGCGTCACACAAAATAAACAGATGCTCCCCCAGACACTGTCCACGTAGCTGTTCTGTGACAATGACTCCAGAGACGTTTCTTTCCATTTAACCTGAAACAGATAACCAACAGAGCAAGACAGTCACTGCGGCTCCTCACCACCTTAACAAGACCACCGTTTCACCCGAGCCTGGATTTTGGACACATGCTTTCTTCTAGTGCTTTTGCAACTGCAAAAGTTGCAGTTCTTGAGCAGGTCACTTGGTTCAGGCTCAGTACTAAAGCATACATTTAACATAATCAGTT